ATAAATGGTGCAAAAGTGACATTAAAACAATATCAAAGATGGTTGACACAAACCCACTACCATTAAAGTATGCCCCTCACTTAGCGGCAAATTTGTTTATCGACGTGGTCATAGGAATGGAACTCTGTCGTTAAGTGAGGAGAGGCTGTAATAATATTCTAACTTCCTTACATGCTCTAATACTTTCCTTTCTCCATAATCCAGATTCCTTGACTTTCTCTTACTTTTTCAACCATCATTATCTTACCTTCTGTTACTTGGTGTACCAACAAGATTACATTTATCACTTATAACACTGCAAGACTTCAGGTGTGAATTTCAGTGTCATTGATGGAAAACAGGCACACACTGCAAAATGAGAATTTATTTGGACAAAATTTCACACTGTGTAGAGCTTTATCATGACATGATAACATTATATAAGTATACTGAGCAAACATTGTTCCAGTAAAAGCTTTTTCTACAATATATATCTTCTCTTTGTTATTTAAAAATAAAAAGGCACAAAAAATTTATTGGAACAATATGCAAATAACCCCACATAAAGAAGAAACTTATGAGACGTTTTCACTCCAACCGGACAATGTGAAATTCACTTCATTTTTTTTTTCCATATTAGGACCCAACTCACTGTCTTTACTAAGAAAATGGTCCAGTAAAATAATTGAGGACCTTTTTGTTTCTTAGAAAATTCCCAATTGATAAAAACCCAATAAAAAGGGTTAAATTTTTTATCCCTTGGGGGAAAAAAATTTTTTTTTGGAAAGGGTAAATAAAAAGTAACGCAGCATAGCCTACCTTAAAATTTAACCCTTTAATATAGGATGGGTTAAAGTTAGGTTTGGTTTTTAAATGGGCCCAAAAACCCTTTTCCCCCCCTTTTTGGGCCCAAAAAAACTGAAACAGCCCAAACCCCGGGTTTTTTCGAAAGCTCTTTTTTTTTTGTATCCCTAGTTTTCATACAATTTGGGTCGTTGATTTTTTTTTCTTTCCTTTTTTTTTCCCCATTTTTTGGGTACACCCGCTCTTTTTTTCATACATTGAAAATGGCCCCGAAACCAACTCGTCCCCTGCTTGGGTGATTTGCCCATCATTTTCCCGGAATCGAGCACCCAAACAAAGCATCCCTTTCCCATTCGGACCAGCCTGCTTGTTTTCGTTGAGTGGGGCACACCCTGTGGTTCATCTAAAAACATTTTTTAATAATCCTTTCCCTTTTTGGTGCGTTTTTCTTTGGGGAGCGGCCCGCTAAATAACCACCATGGGGCCAAAGAAAGTTGATGCCAGCCCTTGATAAAAGAGGAGAAACCGATAGAATTCAAAAAAGAACTCGTAGCAAAGTATGAAAGTGGTGAGGGATACTGATCTTGTCAGGATGTATGGGGGAAATCTGCATCAACAATTTAGTTCCATCCTGGTGAGGAAAAAAAAAAAATCAAGGGAAATTGGGTGTTTTCGAAAGGGGAAATATTCCCCAAAAGAAAAAGAGATCGCAAAAAATCAAGATGTTGAGGGAAATGTTTTTTGGGGTTGGGTAAAAAAAAAACAGTTTGTGTTTTTTGGAAAGGCGATAATTTGTAAAATGCAAGGCATTGGGAAAGTGATCTCGCAAAGAAAAAGCCTAAACGATTGCTCGTTTTTGAATTTAAGGCCAGTAGAGGCTGGGTTTTAAAAAATTTCAAGAAATAAACTGGCCCTACACATGTGGTAAGGCAAAGGGGAACTGCAAGTTTGGGGCGAACGGGGGGGCCCCCGAAATTTACTGATGAAATTTAAGGAGTATGTAAGAGGGTGAAGGGGTTTCCCCCCCCAACCCAATCCCTTCAGTTGTGAAAGAAAAAAGGCCCTTTTTTTTGGGGAAAAAAATGCCCCAAAAGGGGGCCTACATCAGCAGGGGAAAAAAGGGACGGCCAGGACACAAGCCCAAAGAAAAGGGTAGGGTAACTCTTTTTTTTCTGTGGTAACACTAGTGGGTTTCAAAGTGAACCTTTACTGGTGTAAACACTCTGAAAAAACCCCCAGTGTTTAAGAAAAAAAAGTCAAACAAGACTAAATTGTGTGTGATGTGAAAAAACTAAAAAAAATAAGGCATGGGTTTACAAGGCAAATTTTTTAAATTTAGTTTGGGGCCCAAAGAAGTGTTTTTTCCCGAGTGTGAAGAAAAAACAGTGGAAAACCCCAAAAAACGAACTGGGTTTCCCCAAAACAACCCAAATTTTGTTTAAATGTATTTTTGTAAGTGCTTTTATAAGTGCATTTTTGAGGGTCTGAAATGGACTAATCTAATTTACATTATTCCTGATGGGAATAAATTCATTCGGTAAAAGCACTCGAACAGCCTTCTGGACCGAAGAAAGTTCGATATTTGAGGTTCCACTGTACCTCCTAGAAAATCAATTGCCATTTAAGTGTCTCCTGGTAATAGACAATGCTCCTGCTCATCCTCCATGCTTGGAAGACCAATTGTTGGAGGAGTTTAGTTTCATCACAGTGAAGTGCTTGCCCCCTAATACCACTCCTCTCATCCAGCCCATGGACCAGCAGGTCATTTCAAACTTCAAAAAACTCTACACCAAAGCACTGTTTCCAAGGGGCTTTGAAGTGACCTCGGACACTGAATTGACCCTAAGAGAGTTCTGGAGGAATCACTTCAGTATCCTCAATTGCATAAGCCTTATAGATAAGGCTTGGCAGGAAGTGACTTCCAGGATGATGAACTCTGCTTGGAGAAAATTGTGGCCAGAATGAGTCCTCAAGAAGGATTTTGAAGGGTTTGAGGCTGACCCTGACGACCATATGCCTGTTGTGGAATCTATTGTGTCTTTGGGGAAGTCCATGGGGTTGGATGTGAGTGGCCAGGATGTGGAAGAGTTGGTGGATGACCACAGGGAAGAGCTAACCACTGAAGTGCTGCAAGACCTTCAACTGGAACAACAACAGACCGCAGCTGAGGAAATTGCTTCAGAGGAGGAGGAAGAGAGAGGGGAGAATGTGCCGCCTTCACTGATTAAGGACATGTGTGCAAAGTGGAATGAGTTGCAAAGTTTTGTGAAGAAATATCACCCTAACAAAGCTGTTGCAAGCCGTGTCTGCAACATGTTCAATGACAATGCCTCGTCCCATTTTAGGCAGATCTTAAAGAGACGCCAGAAACAGACCTCTCTGGACAGATTTTTTGTGCGACAGTGTTCCAGTGACTCTCAAGCTGGTCCTAGTGCCAGTAAAATCAAAGAAAGGAAGTAACCCCAGATAGGGCCTTGATACCTGAATTTCTTATGGACAGGGATTCCCCTTCCAAATAATAACCTCTTCTCGCCGTCTTCCATACACCAACAAGAGTCTTCAGTAAAGGTAAAAGTGATGTTAAATATTCATTTATCCATTTCATTAGTCATTTATGTTTATTTCTCATTGTTTTCTGTATGCAGAACTATAGTTATTCTCTATACAGTGGACCCCCGAGTTTTGTCGGCATCGACTTTCGTGAAATCCGACTTTCGGCAAGTTTTTTCAGCAAAATTTAGCCTTGCGATTCGTGATTGGACTCGTGATTTGGTGACCATCCGGTACCCTTCCGCCCGTCACCGTGCACACAAAGCAGTCTCCCGCACCATTCACACTCAGTGTGTCATTGTTTACCAGCACGTGACCATCACCCTGTGGGTTCATACAATACATTTCATAATAATCCATTGTTTTTTGTGCTTTCAACTGCTAAATAAGTCACCATGGGCCCAAGGAAAGCTAGTGCAAGCCCTTTGGTAAAGAAAGTGAAGAACACAATCAAATTCAAGAAGGAAATCAAGAGAGGAATTTTGAAGGGTTTGGGGCTGACCCTAAGGAGCTTATGCCAGTTGTGGAATCTATTGTGGCATTGGGGAAGGCCCTGGGTTGGAGGTGAGTGGCAAGGATGTGGAAGAGTTGGTGGAGGACCACAGGGAAGAGCTAACCACTGAAGAGCTGCAAGAGCTTCATCTGCAACAGCAAGAGATCACAGCTCAGGAAATTGCTGCAGAGGAGGAGGAAGAGAGATGGAGGAAGGTGCCTTTTTCAAAGATTAAGGACATCTCTGCAAAGTGGACTGAAGTGCAAACATTTATGGATGAACTTCACCCTAACAAAGCTGTTCCAGGCCGTATTGGCAACATGTGCAATGACATTGTTGTGTCCCACTTCAGACAAATCTTAAAGAAACGCCAGAAACAGAGCTCTCTGGACAGATATTTTGTGCGACAGGGGTCCAGTGACTCTCAAGTTGTTCTCAGTGTCTTCAAAAAACAAAGAAGGGAAGTAACCCCAGATAAGGACTTGGTACCTGAAGTCCTAATGGAAGGAGATTCTCCTTCCAAACAATAGTGTATACCTTTCTCCTATCCCCTCCCATCTTCCATCCACCCAGAAGTCTTCAGTAAAGGTAAGTGTAATATTATTATTTTATATATGTATGTACTTGATTTCTCATTGTTTTCAGTGTGTAAATCTTTATTTAATTTGAAAAAAATTATTTTAGTTTAATATTCTTGGGTGTCTGGAACGGATTAATTTTATTTCGATTATTTCTTATGGGGAAAATGGTTTCGCCATTCGGCAGACTCTCTGGAACAGATTAATCACGAAACTCCGGGGGGGGGGGGGGTTCCACTGTACTTGTAAAATGTATTTTTTGTTAATATTTTTGGGTGTCTGGAAAGGATAAATTGGATTTACATTATTTCTTATGGGAAATATTGCTTCAGTTTTCATACGATTCGGTTTTTGTCAGACTTTTTCGAACAGATTAACCACGAAAACCAAGGTTCCACTGTATCCATTACATAGACCAATGAATAGTGAAGAATTTAAATAATCTCTCACAAAGCTCAAACAGAAGACACTCAGCTCCATATTTGCCAAGATAACTTGATTATATTGTATCTCACAAATTGTTTTCCTAGTTTAAGCCTTAGGTAAATGTGCATAGTAATAACAACATAGAAATAATTTTTTTCCTAACATTGCAGACCACCTAAAGTGATATTGGAGTCGCACAGTGGCATTTCAGATAAAGAAGCAGATGACCTGATTCTTCGACTTGAGAGAAAAGCTCATGAATTTGCACAAAAGGGAGAGGTGGTTATGCTGAATCTTTGTTGTGATACCCAAGTGAGTTATCAGACATTCTATGCTGTCCTGCCTCATCATCATTACAGTCGCCACCATTACAGTGGACCCCCGGTATTCGATATTAATCCATTCCTGAGAGCTCATCGAATACCGATAATATCGAAAACCGAATCAATTTTCCTCATAAGAAATAATGAAAATCAAATTAATCCGTGCAAGACACCCAAAAGTATGAAAAAAAAAATTTTACTACATGAAATATTAAGTTTAATGCAATAGAATAATTACAATAACAATAAAATAATTGACACTTACCTTTAATGAAGATCTGGTGATGATTGATGGGATGGAAGGAGGGGAGAGGTGTTAGTGTTTAGAAGGGGAATCCCCTTCCATTAGGACTTGAGGTAGCAAGTCCTTTTCCAGGGTTACTTCCCTTCTTCTTTTAATGCCACTAGGACCAGCTTGAGAGTCACTGGACCTCTGTCGCACAACAGATCTGTCCATAGAGCTCTGTACCTCCCGTTCCTTTACGATTTGTCTAAAATGGGCCACAACATTGTCATTGTAATAGCTGTGTTAGGGTGATTTTCTTCCATAAAGGTTTGTACTTCAACCCACTGTGCACACATTTCCTTAATTTTTGAAGTAGGCACAATGTATTCCACAACTGGTATAGGCTTCTCAGGGTTAGCCCCAAACCCTTCAAAATCTTTCTTAATTTCCATACTAATTCTCACCCTTTTTACCACAGGGTTGGCACTAGAAGCTTTCTTGGGGCCCATTGTGACTTATTTTGCAGAAACAAGCACCAAACACAGTGATAATATGGATAATATGGAATGTACCAAATGTATCCTTAGATGCGCGCACACTAGCTGGCTTGTAAACACTGGCACACGAGGGGCAGTTCAGGCCACATGTGGACAGGTCTTGTACGAATCGTATCGAATACTGGGTTTTCAATCGAATACCGAGGAAAATTTTTTGCGATATAATGCATCGAATACCGGATTTATCGAATACCGATGCCATCGAATACCGGGGGTCCACTGTACTATCATCTTCCTTCTCTCTTTATCAGACATCATCATTAATAATCCACAAAAATTATCATTATAGATTTTCGTTATTGCAATTATTGGAAGTGCTAAACCAGTTTGAGTTATACAGTGCCTGGGTAATGGACAGTAATCAGGTTATATCTAAGACATGGGGGGCTCCAGTTCTATCGGTACAATGTCCCAGGCCTACAAAAAAAAAAAATGAATAAGTATATACATGCAAATACATCTTTCTTTCTTTCAACACACCGGCCGTATCCCACCGAGGCAGGGTGGCCCAAAAGGAAAAACGAAAGTTTCTCCTTTTACATTTAGTAATATATACAGGAGAAGAGGTTACTAGCCCCTTGCTCCCGGCATTTTAGTCGCCTCTTACAACACGCATGGCTTACGGAGGAAGAATTCTGTTCCACTTCCCCATGGAGATAAGAGGAAATAAACAAGAATAAGAACTAGAAAGAAAATAGAAGAAAACCCAGAGGGGTGTGTATATATGTGCTTGTACATGTATGTGTAGTGTGACCTAAGTGTAAGTAGAAGTAGCAAGACGTACCTGAAATCTTGCATGTTCATGAGACAGAAAAAAGGACACCAGCAATCCTACCATCATGTAAAACAATTACAGGCTTTCGTTTTACACTCACTTGGCAGGACGGTAGTACCTCCCTGGGCGGTTGCTGTCTACCAACCTACTACCTATAATGCAAATACATGTTTATTTAATTAAATCTTTATTTATAAAATGTATTACACAGTTGTATAATATACAGTAAACTGCCATTTAACACGAGTTTATTTGGCACAATTCAGGTATAGCACGATTGAAGAATTGCAGCACAATTTTATTTAGCACTCGTAAAATTAATTTAACACTGTTCAGTTTGTGGGAGGGGTTGTTGTGGATCAGCGGGGGAGACCTCCCGCCATCCCCTGCCATCCCCCGTCACTCCCAACACCACTATCCCAGCATTCGTACTTCATACACGTCCATTTAGTTCCTCTTTTCTGCTACAAGCTAGCTGTGTTTGTGAATTGTGTTTTGATCTTTTAATTGCCATATCTTGTATCTGCCAAGCAGTCATGACACCCGGTAGGCATACCAGTGTTGCTGAAAGTGGCAAGAAAAGGCATAAGCATTTAAGTCTTAGAATTAAAAATGAAAACAGAGATATTAGACAAGAGATAACCTGTTGCCGTAATGAAGCTCGCTTTGTGCACATAAAATGAGGTAAATGTGAGTTTGTGAGATTGACTGATTGACTTGACTTACTGAATGACTTTTTTTTTTTTCAACAAGTCGGCCGTTTCCCACCGAGGCAGGGTGACCCAAAAAAAAAGAAAGAAAATCCCCAAAAAGAAAATACTTTCATCATCATTCAACACTTTCACCACACTCGCACATTATCACTGTTTTTGCAGAGGTGCTCAGAATACAACAGTCTAGAAGCATACACATATAAAGATACACAACATATCCCTCCAAACTGCCAGTATCCCAAACCCCTCCTTTAAAGTGCAGGCATTGTACTTCCCATTTCCAGGACTCAAGTCCGACTATATGAATGACTTACTGACTTGATAATGACTTACTGACTTGATTGAATCACTTACTAACTTGATTGAATGGCTTACTTACTTGACTGACTGGCTTACCGACTGACTTACTGACTTGACTGAATGACTTACCGACTCGACTAAATGTCTGAATGACTTACTGATTTGACTGACTGACTGACTTACTGATTTGACTGACTGACTTCACCAACTGACTGATTGACTTGACTGACTGAATGACTTACTGACTTGACTGAATAACTTACTGACTTGACTGATTGACTTACTGACTTGACTGACTGACTTGCTGAGTTGACTGACTGACTTACTGATTAAACTGACTGACTGACTAACTTGACTGACTGAATGACTTGCTGACTTGACTAACTGAATGACTTATTGACTTGACTAACTGAATGATTTACTGACTTACTGAATGACTTAAAGTTAGACTTTTTCACCGAAGAGGACCCTGAAACAGTGTCTAGAGCAGCTGATGCCTTACTGTCAGTTCTCTAATGTACTGCAGGGTAAAATAGAACAGAAATCCATTACGGAATTTATGCACACTCCAGTACAACCATCGACTTCAGTACCAGAACCTCTAGCATCCACCTAAGCCCAGTAGGGCCAAAGCATAACTCGCTACAATCATCCACAAACACCAGCACCCACAGTTTAAGGTAAGAAATACTATTATTTCCTGTTGCATTTGTAGTCTTATGCAGTAAAAACAACATAATACATCATGACAGTGAACTACAATTACATATTCACTTTTATTTTTGTAAGATGTGGAGGCCCAAAAAAACAAGTTGTTTGGCTTTTTTGGGGCTCCCAGGAACGTAACCCCATTTTTCCCATAAGTTTTTTAGTTCACCTCTCATGGTTTTACCTAACATGGTGTTTTCAGGAACGTAACTACCATGTTAAATGACGGTCTACTGTAACTTAATCAAAGAAGTGAATTCTGCAATGTTATTTAGCACCCATATTACAGGGATGCTTAAAACCCATTCTGAGATTCAGATGGGTCTTAGCCTATTAGGCACTGATGTTTGAAGTGTTTTATAAGTACAAAACCTGACATGCAGGACACCTACTAATACTGTATTAGTACGTATTAAATATAGATAGTATTATTTTTAACACGCCGGCTGTCTCCCACCGAGGCAAGGTGACCCAAAATTAAAAAATAAAACACTTACCATCATTTACTCTATCACTGTCTTTGCAGGTTTGTGCAGATATGACAGTTTAGGTGTCACTCTAAACTTCGGATATTACAAACCCGTCCTTTAAACTTCCCACCTCCAGGACTCAAGTCTGACTAACTGGTTTCCCTAAATCCCTTCACAAAATAGATAGACTTGAGTCCTGGAAATGGGAAGTACAGTACCTGCGCTTTAAAGGAGGGGTCTTGGACATTGGCAATTTGAAGGGACATCTAATCTGTCGTATCTGAGTGCCTCTGCAAAGACAGTGATTATGTATGAGTGATGGTAAAAGTTTTGAATGATGAAAGTTTTTTTCTTTCTTTTTGGGTCACCCTACCTAGGTGGGAAGCGGCCGATGTGCTAAAAAAAAACAAAAAAAAAAAAAACAGGTAACTGAATAATAATATTTTTTTTTTTTTTTTATTATCACACTGGCCGATTCCCACCAAGGCAGGGTGGCCCGAAAAAGAAAAACTTTCACCATCATTCGCTCCATCACTGTCTTGCCAGAAGGGTGCTTTACACTACAGTTTTTAAACTGCAACATTAACACCCCTCCTTCAGAATTAATAATAAATAACAACAGTATTACAGTATAGTATGGTATAATATTTAGCTATAGATCTTGGGGTAGGGGTACCCTTGTGATTTTGAAAATGTCCATGACTTATAAAAGACTTAAATCTGACCCTGAATATAACTCATTTTCCCTTCAGTGGGGTACTGTGATACTAAAGACTCTTGATCCAAAGAGTAGGAGCTAACCTCCCTCTCTTCAGGCCAAACCTAATTTCCTCCCATTCCTCACATACTGTATAACTTATGAATTTGATGCTTCTCCATGAATACAATAAATAATGTGCCACATTTGCTTTACTTACCATATTTGCTTGCCTCTCAGTCATACTTTACTCAAACTTTTGCATTCTTCATCCACTCCACATCCTTTCATAACATTGTCAGTCCTTTCTACATTTCTCCTTATATTTGAAAATGTATACTGTGTTTTTGTGAATGAACCATTGTCAGAAACACTGGGAAAAACTGCAGGATAGCTTACTCTTATTCTTGTTTTCATTGGAATAAAGCAGTTAATTTTGTATCTTCAGTTTTTACTCTTTCTTTTTGAAAATTTTTAATTCCATTTCTAGAAGAATATTTTTTTTTCTTACAGGACTTCCTTAGTGAACATGCTAGACCTTATACAGACTCTATCTATGATGAGATGGTCGCTGAGCAGGAGTCTCGTAGAAAAGCAGATGAAGAAGCAAGAAAAGAAGTACAAAGGCAGCAAGAGATACAGGAAGAAAACAATCGTATTATCATGAAAGAGGAAATGGCTAGGTAGTTTACACAGTTTTAATGTACAGTATTGTTTAGTGGAAGGGTTGAAATTAATAGATTATCTGAGATATATGCACTTCATTCCTTTTAAGAGTTGCACTAGAAAATCTTCCATTCTCCCTTGTATAAACAGGGCTCCTTTGTTTATCTCTTTTCATATATGGTATGCAAAATGAAGAACCTCTTGGATAGACATATGAAATGTAGGAGAGAGAGAGAGATCTGTGCATTTCACCCTCAGTCAAAGACTTTTCAGCAGGTGACCGAGGCTGAAATACAATGTATATCAACTGATTTCTCGTAACTGTTTTGTATTTCTGTCCAAGTGTTTTCTCACTTTGCAGCATTGTTCATAACACTGGTCTAAACATTTAATCTGTATTATCATAACAATTTACTGCTGTTCTGTTGTATCATGTACTCCTCTACCTTCACTTTATCATCATGTAATACAACCCCATAATGAAATTTTCTTAAGGTGTCTCAACCTTTTCACTGACCAGACCTCTGGAATTACACAGTTGCAAAGCTAACTGTCTGGGTGCAGTTTATCAAAATTCTTAGCTATTTCACCAGTATGCCTTTCATTCTATTGAGTGAGCACAAGAAATGCTCATTCAATTATCAAATCTGCCTATAAAATGCAGAGAAGTCTGTAATTTGGCCAATTTTACACAAAAATTAAAAAAATTCCAATTTAGAAACAGAGTCCAAAAAAACACTGTAGACATTCCCAGCACTAAAACAATATTTCCTTCATTCATTAATCACATTCCCAGACCTCTCTTATACTATAATTGCCTTCCATTTTGAATTCATTATCACACAAAAAATAGTAGATTTACCTTATTTCTCATAAAATAAAATATAACTAGGAATGATTGGTCAAGGTATACAGCATCCCAATAATTAAATCAGACCTATTAAAAACCCATAAAACAGACCAGAGGTGTAGGGAGGCCTTACTCGTCCTCAGGAATATAAGCAAAAATCAAATATTACTGGTACTTTGAGACTGATTTGAACCTACTTCCAGCCCTGGAACAAATAAAAATCACCTCTATTTCAATAGTATGTCTTCCATTGTATCAATTGATGGCAAGAAACGGTTAATAAAACCATGGAACCATCCTAGAAAACACCTCAAGGTTGCTATTTTAAACCAAACACAAGGTCAGTGTTTTGCTTTTCCCATCATGCACCATTATTTTTTTTTTAGACTGTGCTCACTCACTGAATAAACCCATTCTCTTATATCTAGGCCAAAATTTACTGAGTAAGCTGAGTTCACGATATAGATCTGTGTAACGAACCCTGGCGTCACTGATGGACGGTGAAAAAGTTAAAATGCCATTGTGTGAATTCCACCCACTTTTTTTTTTTTTTAAATTATTGCTCACTTCATGCCATACTAACATGACAAAAATATTCCATACTTTACTTACTTCAAAATTGAACTTCAGGATTTAGAGAGACCAGCACTACTGCTGGCTTTTAAGTATAATTAAAATGGCTGACAAAGACTAAACTTATTTTATTCAGTGTTTTTATAGGTGTAGAATAATGATCTTCAGTCAACATCTCTTTGTAATGCACTATATTACAGTGTATTACAAAGAGATGTATAGTATACATCTTTTTGTAATACACTGTATTACAAAGAGATGTACATATACTATAAGTGAAATACACACGAATAGTAGTAACACTTGTATATTACAGTAGAGCACTCTGTAATACTCGATACAGTTCAACCCTTAAATTTACAAGTTTTCTAATTTGTGAGACTCAGTTACAGTGTTTTTAATGAAAGACCTCCAGTGAATAGCCACAATTGTTTGCAAGCTTTTTTCCCTATGCCCTTTCTTTGTGGCTTGGAGTGTGACCCCTAAATTGAAAACTAATCATAGGATTTTGTTGAAAATGTACTCAGTATCTTTCCCATATCCGGATTTTTGTATTTCTAGTTGTTATTTCTTATTTACTGTCAATTTTGACTAGAGTGATATATATATAAATATGGCCTCTGAAACATAGAATAAACATAAAATTTATAAGGATAAAATTTGGGGGTTCATTTGTATGAAAATATGTTTGTGTAGATTTTATATTTTGGCTCAGGTTCTAGTATATGCTAAACTTTGCTCCCACAATAACCTCCAGAGATCAGAATGATCACAGGTTCATGCTTGGAACATGTGAATATAAATGTATGAATACCATGAGGGGAATTGGCTCTATAGTATGAGAAAAAGACTTGCCTAGGCTAAGTTTCAGTATGTTGAATTATACACGGTTGGGTAAGGCTGTAGTTCTTTGAGTATGTCTCTGTACAAATATTGTATTTTTAATGTGATCAGGGTAAGGGAGGAATTAAAGGCAGAAGAAAAGCTGAGGCGAGAGCAAAAATTTCGACCATCTTTTTTGACGGATGACAGGTCACAAGGATTTGATATGTCGGATTCTCCAAGTCATAGGTGGTAAGTGTTGTTTCTGTTGAAAATGTACAAAAACTCTTAGACAGTGTAATTTGTCTTCAGAATCTCACAGGAGAGCTGTCATCAGCAAAGAGTAACTGTGGCAACTTGCTTTTTGTATCAGAGCCAACATCTTTTTAATACTAAACATCTCTCTAACACCAGCATTCACTTCTTTTTACAATCCCATCTATAAATATATTAAACAATCATCATGGTGACATCAGACATCCTTATCAAAGTCTTACTTTCACCAGGAAATAGTCTCCCTTCCTCCTACATACCTTAACCTGAGCCAAACTATTCACCTAAATTTTTTTTACTGCTTGTATTAACCTAAAACCTGTTCCATACATTTGCATCATCTGCCACTTGGCTTCCCTACCAACCCTTTGATATGCCTTTTCTAAAGCCATAAATGCCACAAACACCTCTGTATCCTTATCTAAGTACATTGAACCCCCGACTTATGATGTCCTCAACCTACGTTAAAACCGACTTATGATGCTTGTCAGCGTAAAAATTTGACCCCGGCATATGTTGAAACACTCGATTTATATCATTCGTCCCGTATGCGCCCACGTCTGTCTGGCCTGAGCGCCTCAGCTGAGCTAGTGTGACATTGTTTACCATTGGTTATCCACCCAGGATAACCCAAGAAAGTCAGTGTGTCACTGAGGACTGTCTAACTTATTTCCATTGGGGTCCTTAATCTTGTCCCCCAGGATGCGTCCCACACCAGTCGACTAACACCCAGGTGAACAGGAAAAAATGCCTGGAACTAGTGCTCATATTGGTGAATTTAAGGCCAGCAAAGGTTGGTTCGAGAGATTTAAGAGTCGTAGTGGCATACACAGTTTGATAAGGCCAAACAGGACCTACATTACTCAGGAGGAAAAGGCATTCCCAGGACACAAACAGTGTCTCATCACTCATCACTACATCTTCAATAAAGGTAAGTGTCATTTATTCTTCATTTAGTACACTAGTACATGCACAATATATATTGTGCATGTATCCTTCTTTTTGTGTGTAGAAAAATGTATATTTCATGTGGTAAAATTTTTTTTTTCATACTTTTGGGTATCTTGAACGGATTAATTTGATTTCCATTATTTCTTATGGGGAAAATTAATTCGACTTACGATAATTTTGTCGAAGGATGTGCTCTCAGGAACAGAGTAATATTGTAAGTCGGGGGTCCACTGTACAGTGAAACTCTGGTATACTGGACTAATAGGAAAAAGAGGTGTCTGTTTTAATGAAACTTTGTTGTATCAAAATGCCAAATGCAACAGGCATGGTCCATTGTACGGAACACCTTCCAGACACAAGCACTACTGATGACAGACAAAATCTCAGTGCAGGAGACTTTGTGTGTTGTATGGAAAACTTACCAGACACAGACACACACACACACTTTCTCTCTCTCTCTCTCTCTCTCTCTCTCTCTCTCTCTCTCTCTCTCTCTCTCTCTCTCTCTCTCTCTCTCTCTCTCTCACTCTCACTCTCACTCACTCTCACTTACTCTCACTCTCCTCTCATCTCTCTCACTCACTCACTCACTCTCTCTCTCTCACTCTCTCTCTCTCACTCTCTCTCTCTCTCTCTCTCTCTCTCTCTCTCTCTCTCTCTCTCTCTCTCTCTCTCTCTCTCTCTCTCTCTCTCTCCTCTCTCTCTCACTCTCTCTCCTCTCTCTCTCTCTCTCACTCTCAGTCTCTCTCACTCTCACTCTCAGTCTTTCTCACTCACTCTCACTCTCATCTTTCTCACTCACTCTCACACTTTCACTCTCTCTCACTCACTCTCCACACTTTCACTCTCTCTCACTCACTCTCGTCACTTTCAACTCTCACTCTCACACTTTCACTCACTCACTCTCACTCTCTCACTCTACTCTCTACTCTCACTCTTCACTCTCACTCTCTTCACTCTCTCTCTCTCACTCTCCTCCTCTCTCACTCTCTCTCTCTCACTCTCTCTCTCTCCTCACTCTCTCTCTCTCTCTCTCACTCTCTTCTCTCTCATCTCTCTCCTCTCACTCTCTCTCATCTCTCTCTCATCTCACTCTCTCTTCTCATCTCGTCTCTCTCTCTCACTCTCTCTCTCTCTCTCACTCTCTACTCTCTCCTCTCTCTCTCTCTCACTTTCTCTCTTTTTTTTACACGGTTGACAAGGTTATAGGACCCTAGCTTTATTGACAAGCTTTTTGGTTAAGGATTCCTAACTTTATTGGCAAGCTAAGACTGTTACCTACATCACTGATTTGAAAGCATTTTTATGTCTGAGCATACAAGTAGGAACAGGATGAAGTTTGGACCATCTGTGGACCAGCATTTTCTTTGATCAACTTGACTTTATCTCCGTTGACATCCTTATGCTTACGAATGTGTTCCATACTCGGTCATCCTGGTATGATGATCTCAGATGTAGTGATATTCTGGAGAAGGATACAGCCAAGTGAAGTTGCTGCTTTCTGCCCGTCTTGTGGCATAAAGCTTGTTTCATGCTGTCCTACGAAGTGGATTCCAAGTGTGGTATTTTTGACAATATGGCCTTGTACATAAACAGGTAAGGCCACGCCACATCCCTCCATGTTGAAGGCTTTCTGCTGAAATGACAGATCATCCAGGATGGGTCCATGGGAGATGAGACGCTGCTTTGTTCTCTATCTGTCAAGCATCGGATGAGACTCAGAGTGAGAGGGGGGAAGGCATAACCAAGAAGTGGAGCATACTCAAGGTGTGAGCGTACTTGTGCCTCGTACGGATCTTGCAACCCTACTAGTCAAGCAGTGTGATGATTACGGCGAAGTGCTGTAAGCTTCCTGGCTGCCTGTTGCAATTTCAACATGGTTCTTCAGGTAGTTTGGAGTCAATTTCACCCAAGGATATCAACTTCTTCTCCAGTGCCAACACCCTCCCATTCATCCTTACTGCTGCACCCAGCATTACCATCATGGTGCCTAAGACGATCATCGTTTGCGTTTTCTCAGTGCAAATGTTACTTGCCATCTATTTCCCCAAGCTGATATAGCTCTCAGCTGGGGATGATGTAGCTTAGGCAGCTGGGATTTTCTCTCTTGGATAAGTGAATGTCAGTGTCATCGTCTGCATATGCAGTGATTCTGGGATGAGATGAAGAAGGTCGTTGAAGTAGACATTCCATAACATGGACCCAGCAAGCTTCCTTGTGGAACACTGTTGCCCCAATTGGATGGTCCTTGAGAGGTTCCGTTCCATCTGAGATTCTAGCCATGAAGTAAATCACTGAGGGACATAGCGTAGAGCCTGCAATTCCCATGCTTGAGTTTTCTAAGAGCCCTGTGCCACTACTCCAGTTGAAACGGCCAGCCATGTCCATGCTACCCACAGCTGACTTTGGATCTCATCCATACTGTGCTCACCTTATAGGTTTACAACGTCTCAGCTGGTAACCTTCTCTCTAGCCATATTACATTCACTAGTAGTGAGTGGTTCCTCTGTCATTGTCTCACTCACTCCTCTCATCTCATCATCTTCACTCTCTACTCTCTCACTCTAACTCTCTCACTCAACTCTCTCACTCACTCACTCTCTCACTCTCTACTCTCTTCATCATCTCACTCTCACTCACTCACTCTCACTCACTCCCTCTCTCACTCCTCTACTCTCATTCACCTCTTCACTCCTCTCACTCACTCTCCTCACTTCTTCTTCTCACTCTCCTACTCTCTCTCACTCTCTCTCTCTCCTCTCTCCCTCATCTCCTCTCTCTCTCCTCTCTCTCTTCTCTCCTATCTCTCTCTCTCTCTCTCCCTCTCTCTCTCTCTCTCTCTCTCTCTCACTCCTCTCTCTCTCTCTCTCTCCTCTTCTCTCTCTTCACTCTCTCCTCTCACTCTCTCTCTCTCTCTCTTCTCTCTCTCTCTCTCTCTCTTCTCCCCTCTCTCTCTCTCCTCTCTCTCTCCTCTCTCTCTCTCTCTCTCCTCCTCTTTTCCTCCTCTCCTCTCTCTCTCTCTCTTCCTCTCTCTCTCTCTCTCTCCTCTCTCTCTCTCTCTCTCTCTCTCTCTAGTAATGGGCAAAATTTTGATGCAGCAGACTTGGTCCATTGTCCATTGTATGGTGAGCCTACCAGATGCTCACATTACCACTAATGGACAAAAATCTTGATGCATTGGACTTAGTCCATTATGCCTGACCAGATATTTTGTCTATTACATCCAAAATTCATTACATGGTAGTCTCTTATATTGAGGTTTTACTGTACTGCTCTTATATGTTTCAACATAAATGATTGGTCTACACATCCTATACCTACCCTAAGTCCTCCCTGCTTCTCTGCAATCCTACTCTCTGTCTTGCTCATGTCCCTTTCACTAATTCATTCATATAATTTACTTGGTATATTCAACAAGCTTATCCACCTGTAACTCTCATTCTCCCTTGTCCCCTATTCCATTAAACAAAGGAACTGTTTATGCTCTCTGCCAGTCCTTAGGTACTTTCCCTTCTTTCATGCATATATAGAACAAATACACCAATCACTCTAACACTATAGCCCCACCTGTATGTATATGATAATTACAATACATTGTCAGCCATAAGTTGAAAGGTATACTTTCAGTTACAAAAATTAGCTTTTTCATATGCCTCCAATAAGCTAAATTGTATTTTTGATGGTAGATTGTATGATGACAGCCACAGTGGCCTGGAAACTACCATGGGTATTGTTCCTGTTGGATAGTATAAGAAATCATTGCAATCTATGATTGTCATATCTTTAAATTTCCATCATTTCCTGATTTGAGTGCTGCTGCTGCTTTACTCCTACTCTTTATGCAGTTGTCTTTGGGAAAATTTGCATCTGTGATCTTTTCAGTTAGGTTGGTTCAGTCCATGATTCATTAAGTTTGTGATACCATCACTGTGTTTCTTTATGAGTATACATCACTTTGGTGTGATGTGCATTTCTTATTGCCTTTCATATAACTGAATTTAGCAAGGTAAGGGAGCTTGGGGGTGTAG